TATATATATATGCTTTGGATACTCTCTTCCATCCTTTGCTGTTTTCCTGGACTCTGATAACCGGCTCTTTTCTGAGTCCTGTGGATTCCATCTCTATAGTATACATTTTTGGACAGTTTGTGGTCATTGACAATACACTGAAAGGTGAAACTCTTAGCAACTCTTTAACATACTCAAAGGTTAATCTAAAATAATTTGTATAAAATAAAATGCTCTTGCCAAAAATCTTTAGGAAGGATTTGCTCATATATCACGTATATACATCTATGTAGGAACCTCCCTCCCGTGTAGGGTATAGAACTTGGATTTCAAAGGTGGGCATTATTGTGAGCTGAGGTGATTTTAGAGAAAGGAAAGCATGAGAGCACAGATAGGAAATATGGAGACAGAATAAAGAGCGAAGGCATTAAAGCTGGAAAGAATTCCAAGAACAAACTGCATAAAATCGATTCAGGGAAATGAGTAGCCCGGTTTGTCTGGAGCTGAGACGATGTGAAGGGGAGGAGTAGGAGATAAGTTTAAATGGGTACGTTGGGGCCAGGGTGTGGCAACCACTGAAGTCCAGATGAGGCATTTAGACCACATACCGTAAGTCTTTGGAGAGTGATTGCACATTTGAGCATGGGTAAGATGTAAGTGCAGCAGTGGTTAAAAAGATATGACTAGTGGTAAAGGGTAGAGAGAGACGGAGCAGAAGACCAGGCATACAAGGCTTTACTGTGTTCCAGGTGAGGTCATAAAGCTGGATCTAGGACATGAGAAGGGAAAGGATCAATGTGAAAGGCAGTGTGAAAGATATGGGAGCCCCTCAGTGGTGTCCATGGTTGACGCCCTCGGCTGCTAATTGAAAGGCTGGAGGTTCAGATCCACTCAGAGGTGCCTTGGAAGAAAGACCTGGCAATCCACTTCTGAAAAATCAGTGATTGAAAACCCTATAGCACACAGTTGTACTCTGACAAACATGGGGTCACCATTAGTTGGAATCGACTTGACGGCAACATGGGAAATAAATATACATTTAAATCTAGTTTTGTTCTCAGTTAAAATCTAGAAGACAGTCACTTGCAGTCATTGTCAAATCACTACTTATAAGATGCTAAGGATATTTGTGTTGACTGGGAAATAAACTGTCATTATTGTGATCAAACACGTAAGAGGACATAAAAATTCTAATGGCTGATAAAGTCATTTTTAAAGTAAGCTTTGATTAAGCTTAACCAAGGCTAGGAAAAAAATTAGATTTTTTTATGTAAGTAAAAATTATTTTTAAAGAGACCATGATTGGTTGCAAGATGATGACTATTCTTAAATTTCTAAAATAATTAACTGCTGAATTGAGCAAGGCACTAATAATGACTTATATGATTGACAGATCTATTTTCTCTACTTTTGCAAATCACTATAGCAAATCTATTACTAATCAAAACTTCATTTTTTGCAAATACACCTACTAGTTAAACTATGAAGCATTACAGCTGACACAAGTGAAATTATTTATTTCTTACCATATATAGCAACTTAGTTTCTATTCTCATTTACTTGATACAGTTTTCTGGAGTACCTACTATATGCTAAGTACTGTGCTGGTGCAGGGTATATAATGAAGAGTAAAACATGTGGTATGTCCTCATGAGTGCTCACAATCTAGTGGAAAACATAGACGTTAATAATAATAATAATATGCACAAATATATAATTAAAAATTGTGATAAGTATTATGAAGGAAAATTATAGGGTGCTATGAGAGCTTTGGAAACCCTAGTGGTGTAGTGATTAACAGCTAAGGCTGCCAACCAAAAGGTCGGCAGTTCGTATCTACCAGGCACTCCTTAGAAACGCTATGAGGCAGTTCTCCTCTGTCTTGTAGGGTCACTATGAGTTGGAATCAACTCAACGGCAACAGGTTTGGATTTTTGGTTTATGAGAGCTTTGGTGACCTCTTTTCATTAAGATTACAGCCAAGAAAACCCTATACAGAAGTTCTACTCTGTAACACATGGGGTCACCATGAGTTGGTTTTGATTATGAAAGCTTATAACAGGGGGGCTAAACCAAGCCTGGGTCTGAGCAGGTGTTTTTGAGGAAACAGTCTTTAAGCTGAAATTTGTAAAGATGTGGAGGAGTGAAATAAGGGAAAAGATGGGGGAGAGAGAACTAGATGAAAAGATCAGCAGAGGGAAAGAACTGCATATAGAAAAATGAAAATCATTTCTAACTTGTTGGGTGATGGTGTCCCATGGTCCCTGCAGAAGCCGCGTCTTGTAGCATTCATGGACTCCTTCCCATACGTCCTTCAGAGTTAAAGGTCTTCCATCTGTAAAAGTGTAAGTTAAATACTTTCAGCTAGCAATCCCATGGGCACAGTGGTGCTTGGTGTATATTTAGAAATACTGTGAGACTTTTATGATTTAAAAAAAAAAGTCTTTACTAGGACATATACTAGTTATATATCAAAAAAGTGCCATATGAATTATTCTCTTCTGAGGAAAATTTAAACATTCAAGCTTCTCTCCTTTATAACTATCTAGCAGTTAAATTATTTGCTCATTTACTGCCTCCAGGAATTTTACAAAATAAATAAAACTCAAATGTGTTTCAGAGAAAACTGATAAGATACAAGCATAGGCAGAGGACCAGGTAGAGAGACTTCCATATTCACAAGGGTGCACTATGGATAACTCTGAAGACTCAATACTTTGTCTAGTCCTTAAAATCGAAGAGATCACACTCATGTTTCTTTCATTTTCTCATTTATTGACTATCTGTAATGTTCAAATCACTCTGTTAGGCACCCTGGAGAATACAGAGAAAACACAATTTCTCCTAGTAAGGAGCTTACCACCTACTAGGTAAATGATGATAAGTATATCAACAACTAAAATCCTAGGTGTTGCTGTTGTTGTTCATAGCTGCAGATGAGTTGGCATCTGACTTGCGGTTACCCTGTGCACAATGAGATCTGACTGTTGTGATCCATATGGTTTTCATTGGATGATTTTCAGATTTAGATCACCAGGTCTTTCTTCCTAGTCTGTCTTAGTCTGTAAGCTCTGCTGAAGACTGAACAGCATCACAACAACACACAAGCCTCCAACAACAGATGAGTGGTGGCTGTGTTTGAAGTACATTGGTCGGAAGTTGAACCCAGGTCTCCCACCTGAAAGGCAAGGGTTTGGTAACTGCTAGAGAAAAATCTCAGTTCTATGGCAATCCAGATGAGGGAGACAGTGACACCCAGTGTCTGTGGCAGGTGGAGAAAGAGGACAATTGTGGGTGAAGAAGAATGAGAAGGGTTGGCATGAAGGGATTAGTAAAAGCTTTAGTGGACAATAATTCCTCTTTTCCATTGAAACAGCCTCAAATATCCCCCCATATTCAGTAACCGCCCAAATAATGTGTTCTATAAAGACCACTATGGCACTTAGAATATATATAAGTAGAGAAATAAGTATCTGAATTCAGAAAAGAAAGCAGAAAGGAGTTACCTAAAGACTTTTAAACCCCTCAGTGCTGAAAAGAAGGTAGTCTAACTGCTGGAAGTTAGCGCTACTTGGCCCTAAACTTTTCAAGTTCTCAGGGCTTAAGTACGTGCTCTTTTCCTTAGGACAAGAGAGGCATTCAATAGGCAAAATGACATCATTTAAAGAAAACACATCAATATACTAAATTATTATATCTATAGAAATATTTGGTCATCAAGTACAACAAAACTTGGAGAAATAATCTACTAAAAACAAAAACCTAAAAAAAAGCTCTTCTATTTAAACTTACAGAATATAAGTAGAGGTGTGGGGTATAGGGAAAGAGTACTATATCTGGAGTTCACACTAAGTTTGAATCCTGGTGATGGAATTTACTCTTTCAGCATTACTTTGCTTTTAACTTAATCTGTAAAATGAGGATAGTATCTTTCAAATTGTGTTTTCATGAGGCTTACATCCAGGACTGTGTTAGGCACACAAAAAGAGCTTGATAAATGTGAGGTAGCTCCTCCTAGCCTCCACTCCACTATTCCAGCAAGTCTCGTGCTGCTAAGCTAAAAGATTCGTTTCTAGAGTTTTATTTCTTAGAATTTTCTGATGTTTCTATACCATGTACGTTGTCTTTGATATACCAGTATACTGATACCATAGGGAGGGCAATTCTCTGGTTAGAACTGAAAAGCTGACCTTTTCCTCAACCTTTATTTTCAATAAATAGCAATAGAATATTTTGATACATTTTTAATAAGTATCTTCATCTTGGCATTTATCTGGTGGCAGAAGACCATTATCTTGTGATAAATAGTTTTATTCCATTGACATTTTCATTTCTGTAAAATGAGCATGATTTATTCATCCAATTAACATTTGAATGTCATGTTTAGCTCCAAGTTAAAAACAAGCTGCCTTCAGTATCTGTGTTATATTGTTTTCTGAATACATTTACAGAGTAGGGCCAAACTTTGCCCTTAAGATAAGCACTACACATCTTTAAAATATGCATGCGCACGTGTGAGTGTGTGCCTGTGTGAGTATATTGATGTTGAACAAAGAGAACAGGATCTTAAGTGCTCAGCATGAAACAGTAAACTAAATAATCCAGTCATAAAAGGATGGCATACTTTTAATATAATTTTCACATGTCAGCATTAGAAGAAATCAACTTGTTGGATCATAAAGTGTTAGCGCTGGTATAACCACTGATTTGATAAATAAGGCAACCAAGGCCTTGGGAGATATACATCTGCCAAAATTATACAGCCAGTTCATGACTGAACTGGGGCCATAATGCGGGTCGCAGGATTCACAATCAAGTGCTCTTCCTGCTATTCTATGCTGCCTCTGAGGGCTGGGCTATGTGAATCCTGCAAATTACTTCAATCCCGCTGTCTAGTTTATGCCTCACTCATTGCAAATGCTTTATAAATATTTACTGAACAAATGTTCAACGAAAGAGTGCCTTCTTTATTTCCTTTTAAGACAGAGAAAGGCTTTGCAGATCTAGAAAAGAATGCTCAGTTTAATATCTGATAATTAGTAATGATTTTAATTTTCTTTGTTAAATATTTCAATCAACAACCTAAATGATTTGGATCTTACCACTGTCAAAAAACTGCATCCTTTGCTGGTAACAATCATACAAAATGCAATAATCAGCAGCCTAGCAACAATGTGGAAAAATCCAGAAGAAATGCTATGGTATATTTTCATCCTATTCGATGCTGGAATTGAGGGTATGTGACATAAGTTTTCAGACAAGACCAAATTTAGACAAAAAATTTAACACCTTAAAACATGAGAATTAAAAAATTATCTAGAGTAACAGACTGTCAAGAGTTAAAAATTACTTCAAAATAAAAAAACAATGTATTTTTATTTAAGTCACAAAAATACATTTTTTAAAAATGATACAGAATTTCTACTGTCTTCCCTTTTCTACTTTTTTGAAAGACAATGCCACATTAATAGTATTTAGGCCAGTTTCTAGGAGGCATAAACAGTTTGCACTTGACTGCTAACCTTTGGCATAAATGGTTTGCACTCAACTGCTAAACTCAACCTAAAGGTTGGTAATTCGAATCCACCCAGCAATAACACAGAAGAAAAAGCCTGGTGATCTGCTTTCATTAAGATTACAGCCAGGAAGACCCTACTGAGCAGTTCTATTTTGCCACACAGGGGGTCACCATGAGTTGGAATCAACTTCACGGCAACTATTAACAGTATTTAAGCCCTTTCTGTATCATTAACTAAAAACAGATCTATTAGTAGAAACAGATTTGTAGATATCTCCTGATTTTAACTTGATTCCAAGCATTATAATAAGGAAAATAACATTTTAATAATGAAAAAAAATCACAAATTCATCATACTAATGCAACAACAATGCTTTTTCTCTCTTCCCTACACAATCCTGCCAAGCTGGAAACGTAGGAGTCATCCTAGATCTCTCTCTTTCTCAGCCTTACATCCCATAACAAAAACTACATTCTATTATGCATTCTAAATGTCTCTGAAATCCATCCTCTCTACTTCATTGCCACTGCAGTTCAAGATATAAGTTTCAAACCGCCATCAATAACCTTTGTCAATCCTTGGTTTTCTAACACTTGGTCCCATCCTCATCAGTCTCAAACAGAAATCCAATCAAATCTCTCCCCTGTTGAACATCATTCCCTCGTTCCCCTTTCCACAGCATAAAATCCAAGCTTCTTGATTATCTGGCCCCTGCTCACCGGCCTGGTCTTCTGACATTCTCTTCTGTGCATTAGCCCTCAGTCAAGGTGGCAACTCCTTGTCACCACACACTCACACTAACCAGTCATCCTTTTTTCCTGTTTTACTTTTTTTTATAGCACTTAATCCTGGTTCTTTATACATTTATCACTTCCATCCAGTCTCGAATATACCTACTGTGCGGGAAGGTCTCTTGACTTTCCTTATTCCTGGCTGTCAATACTTGGATCAGGGTATGGCACATAGTAGTGGTCAATAAATATTTACTGAATTAATGGTATAGATGAAAGTTTGTATTTTTTTTTTCCACTCAGCATTATAATAATATAAACATATAGGGTCACTACGAGTCAGAATTGACTCAATGACAATGTGTTTTTTTTTTCTTAGTTTATACTGGTAAAAAATCATTATAATTTTACTGGTTGCATAATATTGAACTAAGATGATAAACCTTAATGTATTTAAGCATTCTTCTACTGTTGGTCATTTAAAAGTATTACCAGTTTTTACCCTGCTAACTCAGAACTGAAGCCACTCCAGAAGTTCACCTCTCAGCCAAAGATTAGACAGGTCTATAAAACAAACAACAACACACGTGAGGGGCATGTTTCCTAGTTCAGTCAAGTATAGGAGACCAAATGGGCAACACAGCAAAGACAAGAAGTCTGGAAGGGACAGGAAAACTAGACTAATGGACACAGAGAACCTGGAGTGGAAAGGGACAGGGGGAGAGTGCTGACACATTGCAAGGATTGCAACTAATGTCACAAAATAATTTGTGTATAAAATTTTTGAATGAAAAACTAATTTGCACTGTAAACTTTCACCTAAAACACAATAAAATAAAATAAAAAAGAAGTATTACCAGTTTTTAAACAGTGCCCGGGGCAAAATAGTCTCAACGTAAGCTGTAACAATTTTTCTCGTTTTGAATTATTTCTTTTTGATAAATTCCCAAGAGAAGAATTACTAAGTCAAAGAGAAAAATAACTGTTTAAATTCAGGTCAGAAGAACTATGAGCCCACCACATCAAGATTCTCTCTAGAGTAACACAATATGAAGCTATGGAATTTTAGGAATAGATGTATAACA